ACTTGAATGTCCCCACCATTTTTTGTTATCACTGTGTGAGGTACTTGCTTGAAATTTGGTGCCAATTTGTTACTTTTGACTAAATTTTTAACATAGACTTTATCGCCTGGCTCTAGGTCATTTTCTTTAGCTTTTCGTTTTTTATCGCCGTATTGTTTTCCTTTTTCTTTTTCTTGTTTATCCCTTTCTCTCACCTCTTCGTCAAAAATCTTCTGTTCCGAATTTGACAAGCTTGGAATTTTGTCGCGAAATTCTCGTCGAAAAAATAATTCGGAAGGTGATTTACCCGTCACTGAATGTGGGGTAGCATTGTACATTATCAAATAGTCCAACATGTCTTGGTGCCAATTTCTTTTCAGTGACTGACTGATTTTCAATCTCTTCAATATGTCACGATTCTGTCTTTCTACTTCGCCGTTCTGCTGTGGCCAATATGGAATGGTATGGTGCAAGGTAATTCCTCGTTCTTTACAGAAATTCATCATCTCCTGGCTGGTGAACTGTTTACCATTATCAGAGGTGATAGAGAGTGGGTTACCCAGCCTAGAAAAAATCTCTTGGAGTACTTTGATCGTGTCAGAGGCCGTTATACTCTTCATTGGTTTGATTTCTTTATAGCGGCTGAAGTAATCAATGATTACAAAAAGATATTCACCCGTGGGCAATGGCCCCATAAAATCAATGGCTACATCAACCCAAGCCTCTACCGGAAGATCTCTCCTCTTCATTTCGCTCGGGGGATAGGGTGCTGATACTAGTGTGCATCCTTTGCAAGCCCTAACTATCTTCTCTGCATCGCTATCGATTTTTGGCCACCAGACTTTTGAGCGTAATCGATTTTTCATGGCAACGATTCCAGGGTGGCCTTCGTGTGCTGCTTCTAAAACCTGTTGTCGAAGCTCTGAGGGTATTACAATTTTATTACCTCTCAATAAGATCCCTTCATGGAAACAGAGTTCCGACTCAAATAACTTGTAATTTTTTATTGTATCGTCCCAAATATTCTGATAAATTCCTTTTTCGACTTTGTTTATTTCCTGGTCCTCATTTGAATATTTTTTTATTTGTCCCAGTGTAACGGCAACAGGTCGGGCATATTCGACAATTTTCTGAATATGTTCTTCTTTGTCGAAAGTCGTGATACTTTTGTTATTGTTAATGCATAGTCGAGAAAATGGATCCGCAATATTTGATTTCCCTGGGCGATAGATCACGGTGAATTTGTATGCCTGTAGACGTAGTACCCACCTTTCGATTCTCGCGCATGGTTTCGACTTGGGGCCAAATATTATTTCTAACGGTTTATGGTCTGTTATGAGTTCAAAGCTGTTTTTTCCGTAGAGGTACATTTTGAAGTGTTCTACGGCCCATACTAACGCTAGGGCTTCTTTTTCTGTTTGACAATATCTTTTTTCGCAGTCTGACAAACTCTTGTTACCATAGGCTATTACTCGAGGTCCTGTATTGTCAAACTGTATGAGGACCGCTCCTAAACCAACAGGACTCGCATCAGCTATCAGTTGTGTCCTATCATTCGGGTTATAATACCCCAACGTCTTTATTTTAGTTAAAGAATCTTTCAATTTTTGAAAAGCATCATCTTGATGTGTTGTCCAATGTTTTTCAATGTTACCATGTTTTCCCAGCTTCAATCGTAACAGTGCTCTAAGCGGTTCCGTTTGAGTTGCTAGATTCGCTATCCACTTTCCCACGTAATTTATCAACCCTAAAAAACTTTGCACCTCATCTATCGTCTTTGGGGCTCGAAAGGATTTGATTACCTGGATGTAACTTTCTAACGGTTTTATACCTGCAGGTGATAGCGTGTGCCCTAGGAAATTGATACTTCTAATTTTGAATATACATTTTTCCTTATTCAGAAGAACGTTGTGATTTTCCAATACTTGGAGTGTTTTTTTCAATCTTCTGTCATGTTCTGATTCGTTCTCACCAAAAACTAGGATGTCGTCTATGAAGTTAACGGTTCCCTCACACGGGGTAAGAATACGTTCCAGAGTTTTCTGGAATATTTCGGGAGCGCACGATATTCCGAACATTAGGCGTTTATATTGAAACAAGCCTTTGCTGCTGATAAAGGTTGTGATAAAACGGCAACTTTCAGATATCTCTATCTGATGGAATGCGTTTTTAATATCCAATCTAGAGAATAATTGGGCATTCCTGATTTGTGGAAGAAGAATGTCAATTGTTGGCAGCGGGTGGTTCTCTCGAATTATTGCTGCGTTCGCTCTCCTCATGTCTATACAGATACGAATGTCTCCGTTCTCTTTCAATATTGGAACCATAGCAGAGACCCACTGGGATGGCCCATTAACAGGTTCGATTATGTCTGAATCTACTAGCTCTTTGAGCTTGGACTCCACTTTGGCCTCCAGTGGAATTGGTACTCTCCTGTAAGGCTGACTAATTGGCTTCACCATTTCGTTGATAGGTATATCTATTACAACATCTTTGAACTTTGGAAACTGGCTAATTGAATTTATGCCTATACCAATTTTTAGCACTCCTAGGGCCATCGCCGTAGTTTTCCCTAATAGGTTTCTTGACCCATTTTTGATAACAAAAAATGTGGCAGATGTCGGTTCCATATCGCTGATGGAAATTTTTGTTTCAAACGACCCCAAAATTTCTAACGGTTTATTGCTTGCATAAGCCATAAAAACTCTATCGGGTTTTTCCACTTGGTTCCATACTACGATTTTGTTTTTTTTCAAGTACGCCCACGTTTTACTGTCTATCAGATTGCTCTTACTTCCAGAATCGATAACCATTTCAATTGTTATACCCCCTAGCTTACATTCTACTAGGCAGTCATCATCTATATGGAATATGTAATCTGTATCGATCTGATTGGTCTCCTCTTTCCCGGTAGGATTGCCGTATTTTCCAAATTTCGAATTCCTAGAAGGTCTTCCTTGTGAAAACTTCCTTTTCTTAGCTCTACTTCTACAGAATTTGGAAAAATGTCCAATGTGACCACATTTTCTGCAATCTCTATGGATGGCTGGACAGTTCATATCTGATGCCGTATGATCGCTATGACCACAACGAGTGCACGACTGATGATGCTCAATGTTCCCCGATTTACCTTTTGTTGAACCTTTGAAATTATTTTTACTACCGCTAAAGCCTCCCTTAGTTATATTATTTCCCAATTCTAATTTATTAACCTCTTGGACTTTACTCTTATTACTAAATTCTTCCATTTCCCTATCAACTGCTTCCATAGCATTCGCTTCAGAAATAATTAAATCTATGCTGACTGAGTCCCCTATAGTAAGAATTTTCTTTCGTAATTCTACAGAGTAACATTTTTCAACTATCTGGTCGATCATGTGTTCTTCTAAATTCGCGAATTTACATTTACAAGCTTGCCTCCTCAGACGCACCATGAACTTATCAAACTTTTCTGCTGAATCTTGCTTGATTTGCCGAAAAATATAACGTTCATATAATAAACTTTGTTTTGGATAAAAATATTCTTCTAATTTGCCTACCGCTATGTCGAACACATCTCTACCTTGATCGTCCGCTGCATCAGCGTGAGCTCCTGGTAGGTTGAAGTAAATTTCCTGAAGGCCCATTCCACCATTATGTAACAGACATGCTCGTTTCTTCGAGGGATCCGTAATGTTGGAAGCTTCCATTCCAATCTGGAAAGCCCTCTTCCATTTTTCCCATCTGACCCCGACGGACCCAAGGTCACCTTCACAATCGAATGGTTCGAACATTGGTATATTATTCGCCATTTTTCCTAGAAAATAACATTATTCACCAACTTATCTGATTTCTTCTCTACATTCAAGCGTAAGAACTACGTATATACGAGTATAATATGAAAAGTGATCCATAGTCACATTTTATCATGCAATGAGCTGATATTACTTCGTATTCGTTTAATGAAGAAATCAGAATGAATTCAATGATTACATGACCTCCAAACCACGAAATGCTTGACCAGGATTTTGTTTTTCGATTTTTCAAATCGTTAGATATTAACGTCGTCTTTTGTCTACTGAACAAATCCGACGGGTCTTTTAACCTTTACGTGGACTCCAAACCACGACCTGATTTACCAGGATTTCATTGACCGATTTTCAAATCGTTAGATATTAACGTCGTCTTTTGTCTACTGAACAAATCCGACGGGCCTTTTAACATTCACGTGGACTCCAAACCACGACCTGTTTTACAAGGATTTCATTGACCGATTTTCAAATCGTTAGATATTAACGTCGTCTTTCGCCTACTTGACAAATCCGACGGGACTTTTACTTAACATCCACGTGGACTCCAAACCACGACATCATGCTCATAGACTAAAGGAACATAATATTATTCGCTGCTCCTATCATGATTAGGTATAAAATTATACTTATTCTGAACTCAAGTTAAAAGATACGTAATCCAGTAAAACAACCACACTTACTTGAGAATTATTTTTATCCTCGTCGCCAATGTATGACTGCCGTCACCACTCAGTATTATAATAATCACTCACTAATAGGTAAACGAGGGTAATTGAAACACAGGATTAATAGCATCGACTACCCTGTCTCGGTGTCGTACAACAACTGATTCACTGACCTGTATCTATCACAATCCAGTTGTTATACAACCTAAACCAGGTTTCGTCTTATCTTTATTCTACATTCCAGTGTGTACACTACAGATAGTGCTACACTTTTCGTGCAAAAGAAAAGACCTAAAGTGGAATACGGGCTTAAAGTTCTCGACAGCCACAGAAAAACAGAACGAAACTTCGAAATATGGGGTTCTGTGTTCTGTGCTTAGATCATACAGGTTCTGTGTCACAGAATCATGTTCACGTGACGTTTGATAGTTGTAATTTTCAAATCAAATGTAAATAACAAAATGGTGTTAGGTTATGATTTTGCACTAAGGCCTATGTGTTTCAATTGAAAATTAAAACCCTTGTGTTCTGGCAGAAAGTACCGTATTTGAAAAAAACAACCGACATGGATTTCCAGAACAGGCCTGGAGGCAAGACCGGGGGTGGCGGGGTAGCCTCTTGGTCGGAAACCAACCGCGACCGAAGAGAAAGACTCCGCCAGCTCGCTCTCGAAACCATCGACCTCCAAAAGGACCCCTATTTCATGAAAAACCATCTCGGGTCATACGAGTGTAAACTGTGCTTGACTCTCCACAACAACGAGGGCAGCTATCTGGCTCACACCCAAGGCAAGAAGCATCAGGCAAACCTCGCCAGAAGGGCTGCAAAGGAAGCTAAAGATGCACCTTCCCTGCTGCAACCTGAGAAGCCCAGAGTTGAGCCCAAAAAGTTTGTGAAGATTGGAAGACCTGGGTATCGAGTTACAAAGCAGAGGGATCCTGAAATGGGACAACAAAGTCTTCTATTCCAGATTGATTATCCAGGTGGGTACATAGGATATTATTTTTATGTAAAACATTGCTGGTAAGTTAAGTGTTTTTATATTGGGAACATAATGTATTCAACAACTCACTTTTCATGGAGATTATTCATACAAATTTAACATAACCAAATGATCATCAATTTGCTAGTCAATTTGCCTTCTTTCTTCAATACAGACCTAAATTCTACAACTCACTACCAATACATCTTAGAAAAATAAAAATACTACATAAATTCAAATCAGAAATAAAAAAATATATACAAAGTAACAAGTAAACTTTCTCCAAAATAGTAGGATAGAATATTTGAAAAAAAAAGAAAATGAATGAAAAAGCTGTAACTTACCTTTGCTGCTACCCCTGCCCCCTACCAACCATGACATATCAAGAATTAGATATTGTTTTTTTTTCTTTTTGAAATGGCTGAAACTATATACATATAAGGCTCATGCCTGTATAAGAATTGTAACAGACTATTAATATAGGTATATTGAGAGAAGCCCTAGGTACAACACACATACAGGCATCTATGCCTAGGTGCGTTGTATCCAGAGAGCAAATCTCACCTCATATTTTTTATAAGAATATGTAAAACTTGTATAAGAATATGTAAAACTTGTTTCTTAGACTGTATATGAAATATTTTAATAAACCTGATTGATTGAAACAGAGTTCTTTTATCTGGACTTTTATATAATTTTATAGTATCTCTAGGATATTAATCATTAGAAATCAGTAAGTTTTCATAATTTCCACACATTGATGTTGATGATCATCAACTTGAGAAAATAGTGAAGAAACTAGGGACCTATCATGAAATATATGAGTAATTGGGTGAAAAATGCTCATTTCTTTATATTTCTTGATGAATTTTAGTAGTTTCAAGTTTAAGTGAGGTATATCTTGAGAGAATGAAATGTTCATGGTATCCAGTGATGAAGAAGAGTTCCAAAGGAGTGAAATTTCAAAATATTTTTTAGAATATCATATATATTGTTTCAGAGATTTTAGATGAGTAAAGAACATATACTCTTTACTTCATATATTTTTTCAATCATATTTTCCAAATTGTTGTCCTATGGAGATATGTTAGGAATATTTGGTGAGTCTGCAGATGCTGAATGATTTCCACTGTTTCTACACCTACTTTCCACAAAAAGAAAATTATTGCTCTTTGAGATTTTTCTGGGTCTTCCTAGTCTTCCATGATTTCTGAGTGATTTAATATAGCACAATTCCCAGAACTTTGGATACATACCCGGTATTTACAACTAAGTATTTACTTATTTGTTTTTTTCAATCAATTCATATATTCAATCATCCCAAAAGGCCATATATACAGAGTGATTGTGTATATTTGACTCAATAGCTATCTTATTCAATATTGGCCTTACAGAAACGTTTGAATAGGCAAAAATCAAATATTTTTTATGGGCATCCAGAATCTATCACTAGAAAAATGCAAAAAAGCATCCTAAACCTAAAAATTCTACATAAACTGGTATATTTTAAATAGAACATCCTGTATTTCATTTTTCCAACCAGCAGAACTCTTTCTTCTGATTTCATTTATAAGAATATTTACTTTATTGAGGTTATCTTCATCTGTTTTCAAATGATATGGATTCTAAGACAGTTGTAGACTCGGTTGTAGAACACCTGAAATCTCAGCATTGTCATATGGCATTCAACACCTATACAGAAAAAATCTATATTTTTCAAAACAGACAAAAAAAATCTCAATATACATTTGAAATCATAAAAAAAAGCTCTACCATTTAGGAGATTAAAATACAGTGTGATTCATTTAAAAAATACCAGTTTATGTAGAAATTTCACATTTACCATGCTTTTCACATTTTCTAGTAATAGATCCTGAATGCGCATGAAAATATTCATTTTTTCTGTGACGGAAAAAAGTTTGGCATTACATCCCTGTTGGTAGATTATAAAATGTCACTTTTCATAAATTACTTTTTTCCCGTGGGAAAAAAGTGAGTACTTCTTTCCCGGATATATATCACATAAATATACATTGTTGATGGCTTTTGTTGTGCTATAGTTCCGAAAAATGAGTCAATAATATCGTCTCCGAGAAAGAACTGCAAGTCCTTTTATCTTCCATGTGAGTAATTTTTTCCCGGATACATATCACATATATATATATACACTGTTGATGGCTTTTGTTGAGCTATAGATCCGAAAAATCAGTCAATAATACCATCTCTGATAAAGAACTGCAAGTCCATTCATCTTCCATTCTACTTCGCGGTTATGTATATTACTAAACAACCACTAAATTCGCAATTTTTTTAAATCAAATCACAGAATTTGTCTGACAGAAGTGACATCAGATATTTGATTACTTCAAAAGAATGATAAAGATCCCTACAACGCTGGTGTTCCTACTGTTAAGAACTTAAAATCTCACGTGGATAATTTACAGATTTTAATAGTTATTTATTATCGAGTTTATTGGAAAAAAGTAGTAGATTTTAGCTCCAGGTTGTGTTGTCTCCCGACGCGTAGCGGAGCTAAAATCTAATATTTTTCCCGTGTATAATAAACTATTTTTTTCTGTGTCATCACCCTGTACCAAGGGAAACAATATCCTCAACAACACATTTCTTGTCATCAGAAATCAGCGACGTGGTCTTACCTCGCCACCGCTTCATGTCCGCTTATGAGCAAAAAATCGAGCCACCCGACCGCAAATTCCAGTACCTCCTGTTCGCGGCGGAGCCCTACGAGACCATCGCCTTCAAGGTGCCTAGCCGAGAGGTCGAAAAGACCGACAACAAGTTCTGGACTCACTGGAACAAGGACACGAAGCAGTTCTTCCTGCAGTTCGCCTTCAAGCTGGAGAACAAGCGGAACGCCAATACGGTTGTGCAGAGACACACGAACATTGTGGGGGGTGTGCCCCCTCCGCCCATGCTGCCCGTGCCGCCGCCCCCCAGGCCGCCCATGTTCAATCCCATCCCGCCGCCGCCGCCTATGATGAGGGCGGTGATGCCGGTGCCTCCTCCTCATCATCATCATTGATGAGAGGAGATGATTCTTTGCTGTCACTGTCTATTCTATTTTAATAGGTCTATGATTCCATGTGGTACTTTAAATTGGTATTAAACATATTAATAATAATCATTGGAAACATATTTTACTTTCAATTTGCAAAGAAGCACTTTGGAATTGAGAATGTAGACATACCCACTTTAATTCAGAATAAAACAAAGTAGGTACATGTATATTCCTTTTCCTACACTAATTGGTATTGAACATTCGAAAATACCAAACATATTTTACTTGATAATTTTTTTTTTGCTTTCAAATGAACACTTGAAGTATGAATGTATTTGTTATGCAGATGACTGTACTATCTATGTATCTGATGAAAGAATTGATGATTTTGACAATACTTCCAAAGTTTTCCAATTAAAAGGTTCATTTCCAACTGAAACTAAATAACAATAAAACCCAAAATATTGTATTCTCTACTGATAACGCTATTGCCAAATGTTCTGAAGTTAGACTACTTGGTATTGTCATGGATGATAATTTGAAGTGGTCAGCTCATATTGACCATTTGAGTAAAAAATTGAGGTCCAATATTTACTATTAAGAAAGTTGAGTAGATTTGCTAACATAACAGTATTGAAAACTGCATATTTTGGACTATTTCATTCCCATATTAACTATGGTATAAATCAGGTATAACTATCTGGAGAAACGCACCTGACTCCATGAGAATAATCAGACTCCAAAAAAGAGCCTTTTGAGAATAATTATTGCGAAAGCGAATTATAGAGATAGTTGTCGTCCAATATTCGTAAATTATGAAATACTTCCTTTACCGTGTATCTACATCCTCAATTGTTTGTTAGACATCCATAAAAATAAATATAATTATCAAAGAAACGAGGATTTTCATAATTACACTACAATAAGAAACTGTAAGTTGATTCGACCGATTAGACATCGCTTAAACACATCTGAACGTAACTCTATAGATATAAAATTGTATAATATTCTCCCTGCCAATATCAAAGATACACCTATTCATCTTTTCAAGAAAAAAATTCGTGAATTTCTGTTATCCCATTGCTTATTCTACTCGGTGGGGGAATACCTGGGGGCCGGAGTGGGATCATTTGAGTCTATATAGATTCATGAATTAACAAAGCTGGAAAATAAAATAAATGAATAAATTACATGCAAATAGTGAAACAAAGAGAAATTATGCCTATGCCACGGGGGATCAGTCTTCACCTAGTTTAATTTTAATCTGTATTTTTTTTGTATTGTATCATTCTAATTCAAATTGTTACCTATATACTTTGCCTGTCTTGACTGTCCACAAATGAATTTAATTTTGTAACGTGGATGAATAAATAAATAAATAAATAAAAATAAATAAATAAATGAATGAACATAATATTTGAAATCAGACTGAAACAAGAACCAGTACACAATCTGATTGGGAACACTTCAGAATCAGAATGAACCATAATGAGACTGGACACATTTTCTGACCACAAGTGTCTATTCCTTTTTGTATTCTAAATTGGTATTCAACCTATTCAAAATGATACCAAACATATTTCATATTGATAAAATACTTATTCATGCCTTATCAAATTAAATTTTAGTTATTGGAATAAACAACAGAATAAAAAAAAAATGATAACAAAAAGCTCATGAAAAGTACATTATGACATGATGAAATAAATCAGTGAATGAGATGATTTCACTCAGGTTTGATTTCCTCTTTGCAAGAGGATATGTTTCTTGACTTTAATTTTGAATTGGGTGATATTTGTGCAACTTTTGATACCATCAGGTAATTTATTGAATTTTGAGATTGTTCCGTGAATAAACTTGAATAAACTTTTTTTAGCCAAGTATATAATTAGCAGCATCAAGATGAAACAAGACATATGAAGTTAGATTTGAGGTGTTTGTTGATAATATGAAAAGAAATTTTGAGAGTATTTATCAGATAGTGCTCTTCCAAAGAAAATGTATTTGTTTCTTCATAAAGTTGATTTGATGGGGTGTCATATGGAAGACAATACAGTACTTTTAATGCTTTTTTATATAGTACAGATATTTTGTTGAAATTATTCTTGGAACATGAACCCCAAATATTTATGAGATAGTTCATTTGACTAAGGATGTGAGAGTATAGAACGGTATTTGCTATATTTGGAACAAGTTTTGGAAATCTTCTTAAGGCACCAACTATGGGGGTAATTTTTTCTTTGAGCATGCCAATATGCTTGTCCTGTGTCAACTTTTCATCAATCCAAAATCAGAATGAAATAAAGACAATAAGAATCTTGATGCATTCTCAAATTGATGAAGCACTATCTGATTGAGAACAAAATCTGAATAAACCATAATGAGACTGGACACATTTTCTAACCATTAGTGTCTATTCCTTTTTGTAATCTAAATTGGTACCTCTACTTATTCAAAATACCAAACCAAACATATTTTACTTGATAAAATACTTGAGTATAATCAGCCATTAAACACTTGAATTATAAATGAACATTCAAAATCAGAATGAAATAAAGAGATTAGGAAGCTTGGTGCATTCAAATTAATGGAACACTTTCTGATTGAGAACACTTCAAAATCAGAATGAACCATAATTAGACTGGACACATTTTCTGACCATAAGTGTCTATTCCCTTGTGTATTCTAAATTGGTATTCGCGATCAACTTATTCAAAATGATACCAAAATTACCAAAATATACTTTTTCCGTCGACCTCCTTTTAACGACTAAGTTTAATGTATATGAAATAGTTCATTAATGACCACTATTAATGAACGATTTGTCTATTAATGCACGATTGTTTTATAGGCAACCAAACATACACCGCGTGCATTCATCGTTTATGCTATAACTTACGGAATCTGCATTTAAATCGAAAATATTGGATTTCATCGACGATTTTCCGTTAACGGGTTCGCCTTTCCAAGTTTTCGACACGATTTTAATCCCTGTTTTCTAACACAAGGAATTTATTTCCTATGTTGATCATTTCAACAAATGGCACTAATGTCAGTGACTAGGTTACTGGGTGATTCTTAGCAGTTTCCAGATGAATGATGAATTCGCGAACCAAGTTTTCTTCATTGCAGGAGAAATGAGAAATATAGTCGACGGAAATATTTTGTAACCAACTTGTATATTAAAAGGCGATTAATGATCTCGAACATTTACGCGCTCGCTTCGCTCGCACGTTGAAATATCTCGATCGTTAATCGCCCTCGTTAACATACTAGTTGGTTTAATAACTATTTTCTACTCACATAACTAAATGATCGATTAATCACGGATGAACGATCTGTGATTTATTCAAAATATTAAACACGTTACCATGACAACACGATTACTTAAACACATTACCATATGGCAACACAAATCATTAAACACAGCTTCAGTAATGTGAAACATGTCTGGCCTGTCAATTCTATTAACTGTCAACTGTTATTTTCAAAGGACCCCGCACTTTTAGTACGTAAAATGGTTCTCGGTGAAATTTTCTGAATTTTCAGTATGTTGTAGAATTCGACGAACTGATTGAACCTGCAGGATCGTAAAGTTCTTTGATAAACAGATTCTGAGATACAGGGCGTTGAAGTTACAAATCGGTATTTTTCATTTAATTATTTTCTCGAAATTCAAAGATGCCAAGTACAATTTTTTTCGCTCATATCATCAACGATCCTCCATATTACTCAACATAATTCAGATGGTTCAGATAATGTGATTGTTTACAGAGTGAAACATATGAACATTTCAGTGATGTCTGAAAATTCGATGTAATAATGAAATATCGAAAAAATAATTCAGGCATGCAATATACTATTCTCATTCCATCATGAATAACAATTCATAACATTCTCACGTTTCACTATTTGTGAAAAATATCGGCTACTATGCGACTATAACTGAACAAGTCTCTTCAACTCATCATGCAAATGGTAAGTTCCTGAATTAATAACTATGACACCCGTCATGATAGGAAACTGAATTTTCAAGACAGCGTTGAGGAGCGAATGATGGATATATTAAAAAATAATTAGGGAATTTCACCGAGGTAATCATGAATAACAGGGTGATTTAAAAAAACACGATTTTTTGTCATTTTCATCATCGAAAATCTTCATGATCACCCTATATTACTCAACGAAATCATGTTCATACGGTATCAGCTATCTTGGGAGGTTAACAATTCCCTCGAATATACAGGATGTGTTTGAATAAATCGGTCTTAGGTGTCACCAATTTTTCAAATCACCCTGTATGGAATGTATGAATTGTTATTCATGATGGAATGAGAATAGTATATTGCATGCCTGAATTATTTTTTCGATATTTCATTATTACATCGAATTTTCAGACATCACTGAAATGTTTATATGTTTCACTCTGTAAACAATCACATTATCTGAACCATCTGAATTATGTTGAGTAATATGGAGGTTCGTTGATGATATGAGCGAAAAAAATTGTACTTGGCATCTTTGAATTTCGAGAAAATAATTAAATGAAAAATACCGATTTGTAACTTCAACGCCCTGTATCTCAGAATCTGTTCATCAAAGAACTTTACGATTCTGCAGGTTCAATCAGTTCATCGAATTCTACAACATACTGAAAATTCAGGAAATTTCACCGAGAACCATTTTACGTACTAAAAGTGCGGGGTCCTTTGTATCAGAATTATTCAAACAATATTCGTTTATAGCAGAATTCTTCATTAAAAATATATGCTAAATGTAGACGAAAGTGAAATCGAAGAGAATGTTCTGGTACTTGCATATCTCGATAGAGAAGTGTGAAAATGAAGCATCCACCTTTGAGAATACTTTATTTATTCTGCGCTAAGCATGACAATAAACGTGAAACAAAGGTTAGTAAGCAATGGACTGGACACCAGCTATAACCAATATCACTTATATATACGTGTCTCGCTGGTTGCATGCAGTTGCATATGTATTATGTTTTCCATTGCCATTCCTTTCGA